ACACACACACACACACAAAATGTACACAGATGTGATGCATCCTAAAAGCCAGTGGCTTCTTAATTATATGTTGGTATGTTATCTGTAGGCAGTGCCTTCATTTGGCCACTTGGAGTCCATTCCACCAACACTGAGAGAGAGTGAAGGAACATGTGCTTGAAACAATATTATTGTATTCAAATAGTTAAGCTTTATTTAACCATGGAAAAAAAAAACCTTCTGGAGCGGACAAGATAACACTTGACAACTCTAATTACATAACATAGTTAAAAATAGGATATGACATTAAAATCCTAAAGAACAACGTAAATGCCACATGAGAACTGACCCAAAGAAGATACTTAAAAAGATACGTAGGCAGAGGTCTTTGACAGACAGTTAACCTATTATTTTCCAAAATATCAAGATAATAAATCAGTAACAAAAGGAGCAGTAGATAAAGTCCCATTAACTTAAGTTCAGTGTGTACTTCTTTATAAATATTGAAAACAACATCGATATCAAAACATTGTATTCTACAATTATGCGAATAATCGAGTATTCAGTCATAAATTAACGCATTTAACTGTTTTAATGGTTTATTAAACGTCGGTAAATGATGATGCAAAAATGTCAACATTTGCTTTTAAGAGTTGAGGATTTGCAGGTGTTTTAGGTGTCATTATTATGGACTGTTAGGGAAATATCACTTTTGAATATCAGGATACATTTATTATTATTTATTATTTGTATTATTTATTATCCTTGCAAGAATGGAAGTAGTCATCACAAACAGAGCTGCATGGGACAAATAGTTCCCAGAACAGTGTCCTTGACATGGTTATATACAAGAGAGTGTTATTCAGTCACAAGATGCAGAATACCGGTTCAAAGCAGTATTCAATGTTTGGTTCAGATTAGCTAAGGCCTGCGTAAGCAATAAACATGACAGTCATATGTCTGTCTCCATAGAGGCTGAATCATTATGTTAATCGTTGTCACATAGCTATCACCTGCCTGAAACAGTGTGTCCTCCTGATGCTCTTCTAGGTAATCATACATCCTGTTACATACACAGCTACGTAGGACATTTGTTATCATGTGCTACTCTGATATTAGAAGAGCACATTCTGTATTTTACCAACATGTACTGTCTTAAAGTCTATTGGACTTGGAGACAATTTGAAAAATGTTCCTTGTCTCTCGAAACTTGTGGCAGACATGTTTTGACTTTAAAGCAACAATAATTATAGTTTTGGTACCTATTATGCCAACTTAAAATAAGAATAGTCAGCTGGCATACTTATACTCCTTGACTATCGAGTAAAGGACATTGTAAAAACTAAAAGGTGCACTCAGTGTAGTGATGCCACTTCATCATATTTAGATTCCACACAGAACCACCCACATAAAGAGTTCACAACTGTAAAACCAATCAGATGAAGAGGAAAAGTGACAGAAATATTGAAGACGAATAAAGAAAGAAACGATTGACAATGCAAACTTAGTTCGAAAGCACATTTCACTCTGACCGCCATGACAAAGAGAGAAGAACTGATTCGTAGTGGAGAATCAAAATAAACGAGCTCCGATTATCCAATGAGAGAAAGCAGTGCACGTCTGTGTGTGAGATTCAACAAAGCCGATCGTGAGAAGGAGAAGAGAGAAATGCCATCTTAGCCAGGAGCGTGGGAGGCAGAGCTGCACATAATACTTGAGGAAACGCATTGGCAACAAAGAGGAACCAGGTGTAATACACTCATGAATAAATATGCTGAGGGCTGGAATTGATCATTAGTGCTGTCTGGGGGAGTATATATGAAAAAAGGAGGATGAATAGAGGCTCTGCGATTTGATGAGTGGTATTGAAGCATGGAAGATCCTTAAGAGAGGCTCTCTATTGCCAGTGATAACATTGAGCTGCTTTTTAACTGGGCAGTCTCATTACTGTCTGTTCTTGCTCTGTTTGAGTTATTTCCCCCCCCAAAACTGCAACATAACTCCTGAGTTATAATTGGATTTTGCTTGGGTATTACTCTTCTATTCTTAGCCTTAGGTTTATCATGTCATACTTTATGATGATGCAATGCATTACGATTAAAACATGAGCCCATCCTCCTATACATCACAGTTCACCACATGCAGTACTTGCTGGACATAATATGCTCCTGGGCTCTCGTCTCATGGCGTGATGAAAGGCCAGGGAACAAAAGGTTGTCTCTGCTGAGGAGTGGAGCAGCTCGACTCTTAATTGGCGCTCTGATCAGAGAGGGATCCGGGCTGAGGGGCCGCAGCTCCCCGCACCAACTACATCCTGGGAACGCAGGGTGGTGCTCCTGTCTGTCTTGATTAACGACCTCTCCCTTTGACCCCTCCCATGAGTCCCGACAAGTACCTCTCTGGAGCAAATACATAGTGCATACATTCACTAAAGCATGTATGTTGCGAGTGTGGGGGGAAACTTCAGTGTAGCAATGCAGTGGGAGTCACCGACTCAGGAAGGAGACACGGGGAGAGCTGGAGCTTTGATGTCAAACACTGATGGTTTATTTTGGAGCTTCGGCCGGAGGATTCACAAAACAAGTCCAAGAGCCAGAGGTTCTGACTTCACGGTAGAGTTGCCACGTCAATCCTGAAGAACTCTACCCCAGACCCATGTGTTTAGCTAGTTCAGAGAGAATAATCAACATTGTGCATAACAAGATAGAATGATAACACCTCTATCAGCTGACGCCAACAGGCAGGAACAGGGAGTCAGAACACTGAGAGCACAGCACCCAGGGTTGCAAGTGCCTGTGCTCAGTCAGGACAGTATGAACTGATAAACTGGGTCAAAGTTATGGGCCTTGGAAAATATTTCCCCAACAATAATAATATCCATGCACTCTATGATTAGTGAATTTATGGCCTGTTTTATTGTTGATTTTATTTTTGTGGAGCTTTAGTGCTGATGAGTCAACCCAGTCTCACGGCATTTCGTGTAATAGTCACAAAATAAATATAATCTATTGATTCGTGTTCACTAACATGATTTCCCATTTTTTTCGTGTCACACAGAAAAAGCAATGTATTTCTATTGGTAGTATAGAAATACATATGTATATATATATATATATATATATATGCCTGCACCACGTCTTTTTGTCCGGTCGGGTCTTGGAAGACCAGAAGCTGTGTGGTTCATAAAAACATTTTCTTACTCAATATCATATTGAGTAAGAAAATGTTTTTATGAACCACACAGCTTCTGGTCTTCCAAGACCCGACCGGACAAAAAGACGTGGTGCAGGCATATATATATATATATNAAGGTGTGAAATCTTCGAGACCATAGGCGTCAGACCCAAGTGATTCCGTGTTCCCAGCTGTTTAGTCTATCTCCCCAAATATGTTGATTACTCTCTCTGAACTAGTTAAAAGGTCTATCGAGAGAGAGGCTCTTCAGAATTGACGTGGCAAAGGTCTATCGAGAGAGAGGCTCTTCAGAATTGATGTGGCAAAGGTCTATCGAGAGAGAGGCTCTTCAGAATTGACGTGGCAACTCTCCCNCCAGGGGCCGTATTCACAAAGGATCTTAGGGCTAAAAGTAGCTCCTAACTGGCGAATTTAGGAGAAACTCCTAAACATAATGGGCGTGTCAGTCTTAAATGTAGGACTCCTAATTTTATTCACTAAGAGCAATTCACAAAGTATTTTAGGCCTAAAAGTAGCACCTAAGTTTAGGAGAGCTTAAAAGTCCTCGAGAGGACTCCTAACTCAGTAAGACCTATTCACAAAGAATCTGAAAATGGCTGCGAGACGAAATGTTTTGGAGACAATGGAAGACTGTGAATTGATCAAGAGATATAGGCAAAATCGTGAGGGTATCAAACTTGTTGTGGAATTAGTGCGGGATGCAATAACATCCCCGACTAACAGGAATAACCCGATTAGTCCGGAAATAAAATGTTTGGCAACACTACGATATTTAGCAACAGGGAAAATGCAACTTTGCAATGCCGACGATTTAGGAATATCGCAACCATCAGTCAGCCGTGCCATAAACCAAACCATCAACGCGATCTCTAGAACACATATCATCCAACAGTTTATCCGGTTTCCTTTGGACAATCAACAACTACACAGGATCAAAGCCAACTTCATGGCAATTGCAGGTATGCCCGGTGCGGTCGGTGCTATTGACGGGACGCACATAAAAATAATTGCGCCATCAAAAGATGAGGACGTGTTTGTCAATAGAAAGAAAGTACATTCCATCAACACGCAGATTGTTGTGGGGCTTTAACGGCGGTATGGGCTGTTATTGAAAGTGTTTAAGTGCTGGAAATATGCTCATTGGATAATAGTTTGCAGGGTGCTTTTAATTGCCTCCTTGATTTAATGCAATTTACGTATTTTTATTGTTTGCTCTCTCTCTTTAACGTGCATATACAACGTCATTATCGTGGTCTGCACAAACTTGTCATCATGCGTGTATTCTGCTAACTGCACTGTCCATAACTATTTGATAGGAATACATTTCTAGCCTAGGCTATTTCCTTGTTTTTCGGTGATTTAGTGGGCTCGTTTGTGGGATGTTGCGGATGAGTTTCACCGAGACCGCCTGCTCTGAACAACCAATCACCGTACTGACCGCTTCTAAACTCATGCACGAGAATCGACGTAATCCATAGCAACGGCACGTCACTCTTAGTGATTTATCCTTAGTATGAGTAGGTCTCAGCGGCTTTGTGAATAACTTTTAAGAAAAAACTCCTACGTAAAATGTTTTAGCGCGAGTTAGGAGCGCTCCTAGCGGTAACATAAAATGCTTTGTGAATACGGCCCCTGATCTATTAAAGTTAGTAATGTACTGTAGGTGTGGTGTCGGGATTGTTTGTTCCTTCTTTATCTACACTGCTAGCAAATAGCTTGATTTGGTATAGTGAGATGTCTGAGAGCAAATGTGTCTGAATGATCTTAATGTGTGTTATACGTTTGTGTGCATGTAAATGGTCTGCAAAGGCTAAAATCCCAAAGTTCGCTCCAGAGGGAGTTTCTCTCCCAAAAATACTTATGAGTAACATTTAAATTAGAAAAAACTGAAATCGCTGGTCATTGCTAAATAACTGGAAGCTTAAGCCTCAAAATGTGTGCAGATTTGAATAGGAACAGCTTCCAGTTTCAGTGCCAAGTTCACCAAAATGCTTTTAATAAGCTGAAATTCACAATAGGAGTAGAAGTTTGAGGGTTAGTACTATTTTTAAATAGCAGCTGATTACATCATAACCTGCCAAATGACAGTTTAAACGTCTTCAATCTAACCGTGAGAAGTTGCAAGGGCTCAAAGGAAAACAGAAATCTCAACATATAAAGCCACATAGCTCCGTTGGGGTTCAATGATGACTAAAGGGAACTTACGCGTTTCTGGACTGGAAAACAATTTTAAATTTTAAATCATTTGTGGGGAATAAATTCTTCAGGAGCCAAAACAACTTTTGGTGTGTAACTTAAATATATTTATTTTAATCTTGGTTTAATAGGAAATTACAGATGTGATTTAAAAAGTAAAAACATCAAATCAACTCTGGAATTATGAACGTATAAACCAAAATGTGTATATTCTGTATGAATAGGTTGTTTGGCTAATAAACCAACAGGAAGGAACAAAAACCTTTGGTAGGCCAAATATATTCCACTCTTCTTTGATGGAAAACATTGTAAAGTCCTCAACCCTGAACTTGACATCTTCTTCAACAGGAGGCAAGCAACGAGTCAAAACTCGCAGGGGACGCCGAACCGCCAAGGTGAGTGTTGAGTGTACGAAGCAGGTTTATGGAAAGCTGTAAACCACGTGCCAGTTTTAAGAAGCCGTTTATATAACTGTGCATACCACTCGCAGAGAAAAGGCTCCACACAGAGCCTGGAGGAGCTGGCAATTATCGTGGAGGTGCTGGAGGAGGACCTCAGGACTGGCAGCATCTGCCACTCCCCGCCACCTCTTATGTCCTCTACAACTGGTAAGTCATGGAAACCTTGATAAACATGCTATTATTACCCTGCTACTTACAATATTGATTTTCTAATTACTTTGATTGATTTTAAAATTATCGTACTGTTTCGCTATGAAGAAGTAGTCCATTCTGCTGCGGCACAGGAACATAAAATAAAATGATGGCAGAACTGATCAAGCTTTTTCTGCAACTGTTCAAGTCTGTTCACATTTTCTTTTCCATTAACCCGTCTTCTAACACTGCCAGAGCCCATAGTGTTCCTGTCTGTCTTCTTCTGCCATTCCCTTTAGTGTTTACCTTCTTCTGTTGATTTCTCTGATGTCCAGCACTCTGTCATTTAACCTCTTTCCTTCTCTTGCGCTCTTTTTCCCTTCTTTTCGTCTGCGGGATAGTTAAACCATGAATCCAAAGGTTTGTTCCTCTCCACAAATACAAAATAATATTGAGAAGAATTCCAAGGTGTTTCTGACGGAGGAAACAAATGTATTTTAAATTGACCCGACTTCTCTTTGTGGATTGATATGACTGCACATAGTCACTTAATCCTCCTTAGCAACAGTCTAGCGAAAAATAGCAGACCTCCGAATGTTTAAAGTTGACCAATCAGCATTGAGTATTCAACTAAGTCGAATAATAACTGCATCTATTACCAGTCCTTACATGCCACATCCTCTCACCGTTTCCCAGGCTATAACAGTGATGATTCTGATGAGATGATCCCCAGCCCCCAGTCCTACATGAGCTACTCCCCCCTCCCAATGGACTACCAGCATAACTTGTCCCCTGATGGCGTCATGCACACCAGCCTCCAGCCTTCCAGCATGGGAAACTTTGGAAGAAGAGAGGAGTGTGTCGACCCTCAGAACCACGACTGGAACCTGAACAACTCCTCTTACTTCCTGGCTCAGCTTAAGAAAGAGGAGAGCCAGCTCATGGACGTCTCAAACGCCGTACTGCTCGCTCCCGATGAACACGGCAGGACGTAAGTTTAGTGGCTGTAAATGTATTTGGAAATCAGCATCAGAGTTGGGTTTATTGCCAAGTTGGTTTACACGTACGAATAATTGGTGTTGATGTATAACGGTGCCAACTTTAACACAAAAAAAGGAATTATTTGGTAAATATTCTTAGAAAAATTGATCAAATGAGCACTTCTGAACAAACAAAACAAGACAACGCGTATTTTACTACAACACCCAGTCAGCCATCATGCGTCATCTTTATCATCTGATGCAGTTGAGTTGGCGGTGAAAATGAAAATCCAAGCATCAATTGTCGATACAAATTTCCATTGTTAGACCAGCAGATAACTTTCTTAAAGGGGACCTATCATGCAAAATGCACTATTGTACGTCTTTTATACATGAATGTGTGTCAGGGAACTCACCAAGTGTCGGGAAAACACAACCCCCTCTCTTTTCCTCCGTACCCAAATCTCTAAAAACGGGGCTACAACGGAGCTGATCCAGATTTCCATCCACTGTGACGTCATAGCGGCGGCAGACCCACAGAAAGTTGCTATCAGAAACAATGCCTGACGTGTTTTGGACGTAATCTCGTATTTGTTTACATTAGCAAGCCTCGCTAACACTCAGCGCTAACCTGTACTGTAGAGTACATGTGTTTTTAAAAAAGAATTCTGATCAGGCATTAGCTCCGCCTCCTCTTTTTTTGTTTCAAGCAAAGGACCCAAGATCCGCGTTTCTCTAACAGGGTTTCAAAGGAGGGGTTTGAACAGAATGAGGCATGGCTACAATGGGTGATCTGTTTGGTATTTTGAAAAAAAAACTTCACAGACATGTTTTATATAGGTATGGCCCTACAATATATATTTCAAATATAGCATGATAGGTCCACTTTAAGTAGGGGCCATATTTTTAAATAATAACAACTCAACGCAATTTACATTGCGGTATTTTAATAGTCAAGTTACATTTAGTTACAATTGTGACATTTGAAAAATAAGAAAGTAAACCCCAAAAGACCCAAGGGGCACAGAAGAAACTCGGCTAATAGTCCACATGCTGTCAACATTTTCAATATGTTTTATCCATTGGTAGTGCAAAGGTTTTATTTAACCTGTGTGGCGTCTTAATAATGAAAAGCTGATCCTAGTTTGCTCTTTAAAGATAAAACCGTATTCATTATTGAGACTGATGATGGCTCACTTCTATTTAGCTGCTTCACCTCCTGGCAGTGTGCATGTTTGCTAAATGTCACACCTTATTTACCTTAAGTGACACTTGATCACATTGTTACTACAGTTGTTACACCCATCCTTGTTTTCTTCTTTGCCAAGTCAAAACATCTGCTGTGAAAAAAGACCTGTTGTCGTTGTTCAGCTTGTTGATCTCGCTGAAGGCCGCAGGCTTCTTGTAATTAGAAGCAAAAATGGCTTTTCCAAATACCTCCGCTAACCACATGCTATATAACCCAGGTTCAGACCTGTTACCCTTTTACAGGACTGCCTTTTGGTGTCAGGAAATACTGATAGTGTGAAGTCATTTTTTAATGTCTGATGTTTCTTTCAGAGCTTTCCATAAAGTGGTATGCGTCGGGAAGAGGGCGCTAGGCTACGCTATCGCAAAGAGGATGGCTGCGCTCAACAGCCTGGACCTAAAAGACTCTGATGGAATGGTACTATAAGATTTACATCTCTTGTTAATGCAAAAAAAAACATAAACAAATATCAAGGGGTGCAAGATTAGCCTAACTGTCTGTATTGTATTGCATAACAAATTCTGGACAATCGGAACTTTTATGCTTATACTTTCTGTAAAATACATGTTTAAGATTAAGGTTTTAAGAACTAATGTGCTAAAAGAATAATGACATAAATACCTTCTCCACCTTCTGCAATGCAAATCAACACACTCTGCTTCTAAAATAATCTATGCCACAGGTGGGTTGTTAAGATTGATTGGATCATATTGTATACTCAATTATTTATGTCCAATTAGCAAGTAAGTCACATTCTCTCATTAATGTTTGTAACTCTCTGTTCATAGACCGCCCTGCTCCATGCAGCAAAGCACAACCAGCACCTGATGGTGGCAGATCTGATCCGACTCGGGGCCAACGTTAATGAGACCAACAACCTAGGAAAGACCTGCCTGCACCTCAGTGCTGAGAAAGGCTACATCAGAGTCCTGGAGGTGAGAGCATACCTTCATCTCTAAAGAGGACCTATTAAGCTTGTTGGGGTTTTCCCTTTCCTGTTGGGAGTTGTATATTTCTTTGTGCATGTGAATGGTCTGCAAAGGCTATAATCCCAAAATTCCCACCATAATTGTAGAGAGGCTTGAATGGTTGTCCATTCCCATGAATAAGGAAGTCGTACGTGATAAGCTAAAGTGCGGGACATCTCTAGTGGTTGCTCAATCACAACCAAGCCGGCCAGCTAACCAATCAGAGCAGACTGGACTGCAGCAAAGGCAGTATGAGAAAAATAAAGACCTTTTTGAACATTAAAGCATGGAAACATGTCACAGTAGAGAAAACATATATAAATAGGAACCTGAAAATTAGAAATAATACCCTCTTAAACTGTGGTAATGATGGGGTTTCCTGTTTGTCATGAGACACAAGGTATTTCAGACGTAGGTTACTTTGAGTCAAACAAGTTATTCAGATCTTTGTTTTAGGCTTTTATGGCTGGAAGGCTTTTATTTGTGCGCGAGGTAGTATATCTGTCAACTGATAAGAGGAACAAATGTGACAAAAAGCAACAGAGCCGGTTCTGTTAAACACATTGTACAGCAAGTCATTAATTTCTCATGGGTGCAGCCAAAGAGCAACTTGGGTAACCTGTCATTATGCGTCACACTGTTTTTCAAAGAACTAGATTTTATTTGTGGTATGATCGTGGTATAATAACGCTTATTGTTACATTTCCTAGCGTCTCATCTGTGGGAAAAACTAAAGTGTTTTTTTTTTAACATTAAAGTGTGGAAACATGTCACACTAGAGGCACAAAATACAAATATGAATCTGAAAATTATCATAATACGGCCCCTTTAATATTCTGACAGGCTGCCACAAATAAGGTAATCTAATAGAGACAAAGATAGATTTTTTTCTTCCAACTGTGTTTATGAAATAGCACATTCTAAGTGCAAACTGTAGATGTTGTTTGGCAAGACAGGCGTGTTCTCCGCAGATACAGTAGAAAGCAGAACAACATTATAAGGGTCAACAAACACACAGTATTTGTATTATGGTGACTCACCAAGTCAAAAACAAAGTGGTATTTGTTTATTAATTTGTATCTGCCCCTTACTGTCTTGTACAAAAAACAGATTTGACTGATGTAACTGAACAGCAATAATACTGTCAGTATTAGGCAGACGCCTCCAGACATCTGAAGACGCCAGGTGTGCGTTCCTTGCGATCCACTCTTAGTGAACAACACCACTGATATCCTGTGGTGGAAGTCTTCACAATCATTATATAGTAACAGTAGAAGAACCATAGTCTTAATATCCTTCATTTAAAGTAAAAGTATTGAATTAAAAGTATTAATATAGATTAAAGTGCAGTCGACTTCTCTTACATAATAAAAACAATATTTCCGTCTTGAGTAGAAGTATAAAGCAGCAGAAAATGTAAATATTCAAGTAAAGTACATTGTGTGTGTGAACTTCTATCCTGAACTAGTGTTTATGTTTTCCTTATAGGTTCTAAAACACACAATGATGGATGGTGTGTATGTCGACGTCGAAGCCACTGATAGCTACGGTAAATACTGTCACCTTTCCAATTCTTTCCAAAAACCCACTTTGTTGTAACATACTGACAATAATGCATGCTATCACTTAATTGGCATTATAAAACGAACAAGTCAAATCAATATATGGCATGAAAGCTGTAGTATCAGGCATTCAGTATCTGTGTCAAGTTAAGTAGTTGACTCAACCAAAATAAAAATAAATCCTGCGAATAAGTTCATATAATTCTTCTTGTCAGTTACCATTTTACAGATAGGTTTAGGAATGTTTAGATGTTAAAGTTGAAGACTGTTTGAGTGGATGTAGTCTAAAAAATATAGTAATGTGTGTGTTTTCTCAGAAATGAGCGTCATCCAGTGCGCTTCTGTGGCTCTGAAGGCCACCGTACGTCAGCTAAATAGCAGCATGACCCCGAGTCAAAGCAGACTCCAAATGCTGCGCCAGGAGCAGATGATGGAGACGCTGGAGTGTCTGCTGCAGATGTGCAGCTACCTTCATACCATGGTAGGACACTCTGTTAGATACCATCATGGTCTCTTTCATTAGCTTCTATTTTTGCATGCATATTAATAGTGACTAAAGCTGGGATTTCTACACAGCTGCAGATAAAGACTAGGCCACACTAACATTAGTTTTATATTTTAAATCTAAAATCCCAAAAAATGTTAAGAATGTTGTGAAAACCATTAATGGTTTTATCTAACAAGATATTCTGCCTCACTCCATATTTCGTTGGCGTTTAGTACGGTGGCCGACAAGTACAAATGGGCTACAAAGCCCAGAAACATTTTCATTAGGGAAAAGGGCCGCAGATTCAGAAAACTATTGAAATATAAAGAAAGAAAATGTGCTAAAACACATGCAAATTAAGAAAGATCTTCACAAACTAGACAACACATGCTCTCACATAGTTAAAATAAGCTGATAAAACGTACACTTAGGAAACTTGCCAACAACAATGACAGTGGGCCAACTTTATCAATCCCAATTCTCAGTTTGCCACTCACAAAGACATGCACACATTTCTATTAACAGGGCAGTCTAAGAGACAAAATAAGCTTTGAATAAAAATAAAAAAGACATTCAGAACAGCTCGTTACAACTTAAAAGCACTATTAAAATTAAATTTGAAGAAAATGATGGTGAATGACAAGTGATCATGCTATGGGAAAACTAATCAAGTTTTTAAGAAGCAGTTCAGACTGGGGATGTGCATCTCCATCACTGAGGCCGATACGATGCGCATCTCGATACGTTGCCACGATATGATACATTAACGATACCTTTGAAACACCAGGCGATACGATACAATACAATTCACCCCTGTTGCGATACAGTTCAATACGATTTGATTCAACATTATGCAATTCGGGGCGATATGATGCGATTCAATACGATGCAAAATAATGATACAATTCAATATGGTACGACAGAGGATTTTGTTGTATTCCTTATATGCAGCAAATCATAAATTAACAAATAAGTGCTTTATATATTTGGTTCTCTCTACTAGTACTGCGCATCCCATCATGCTGTTTATTTTTTACCGTAAAAAAAACACTTGGACCTTTCACAAACTGGCCTTTTCACAAGTATAGTAGTGTTCTCTGTCTCCAGAGTAAAGTACAATTTTATAACACCTCAAAGTTAAACAATTTAAGGATGCATTGCCCAGGATTAACAATGTGCAAATAACAGCTACCATAGTGCAATGCTCATACAGCTGCCAGCCTGATGTGCTTAACACTCATTCATAGGCTAACTCACCAGTGAGCAGAAAGCAGTGGTTTCTATATGAACAATAAAGAATACAAATAACCTTTCACAAACAGCTCTTTCATAACTGCTTACTGTAAGGAAGACATTTAAACTATTATTGGCAGTCACAGTCTGCTGTAAACTAAACACCACTCTCTCTGACAGAACACCTCACTGAGTGATTTAACTCGTATGTCTAGCTTTCAGGTTTTTCTTTTCAGCCGCAGACCCCATGTCGCCTCTTTATGTGCGTCGCTAAGTTCCTCATACTACTTGTGTACTTTAAAGCGGCACAGCATCGTTTACAATTTGCGAGCAATTTTTCAAGTTGACCGTCTTTCTTGAAAAATCCAAAGTGTTGCCAAACGTTTGATTTGTAGCAGAGTTCCCGTTAGAATATTTAGTGCCGGTCAAAGGTCTTCTTTGTTATTTATTGAGCTTTAAAACAAATTGATATGATTCGATATTAAACAAACAAATTATTGTAGATTAACTATTCAAAAGTGTACAGTAATTTGCAATAATACGGGAATAATAAACGGAGCGCTGACAGCCTGACCCTGACAGTCCGTCAGTATCATGCAGCTTGCGGATCAGTAATGAGTGACCCGACAGTAAAACTAAACATATCTATAACTAGTTACGGTAGTTTGAGAGGTAATTAAAATAGCTACGTGTGATATTCTAACCTGAAGTGTGTTTTGTTCCGCTCACCGCTGCATGTGATCATGCAGAGCTGCGTGTCGACTCGTCAGCAGCAGCTGATCTCTCTCCCGTCAGATTAGACTTTACTCGCGTTTATGTCCATACCGATCAGATCTAGCTAGTTCTAGCTAATGATAGGACTACCTGCTTATTAAAAGACACCTAAACAATAAGCGTCGCTATGCAACCGGGTGAGGCCGCAAAGTATAGCGCAGCATTATGCATTTGTTTACATGCCCACCGGAACCCCGAGGCATTACCAACAATCAACCCATACAGGACATCTCTTTCTCCANGATCAATTTTCCAGATAGCCTCTCTCTCCGAGAAGTCTTAACTGCACCGTTTCCAGATAGCTCTCTCTCCGAGAAGTCTTAACTACACGTTTCCAGATAGCTCACTCTCTCCCGAGAAAGTCTTAACTGCACCGTTGAGAGGGAACTTCAGTCTCGGAGACTGAGACCTGAAACAAAAATACTTAAGAGGCCGGGCTCGAGGGTTTTATTTGGTAGTCACAAACTGTAGGTTCGACGTCGAGAGAGGGCACAGAGGAGAGGACTCAGCCACTGAGGGTGACGTAACGATGGTGACTTCAAAGGGGTTGTGAGCGCGTGTATGTACGAATCACTTACATACGTGATACATAAACCGAGGTCTCTCCATGAACAAGCACTTGAGTACCCTCCCCAGTTTCCCTCTCAGCAATTGGGTTCTGTCTGTCCTCGTGGGGACGCAAGGGCCTACATCACCACGCACCTCGACGCCGGGGAGTCGGGCCTAGGGAGAGACTAGGTCTCGACGGTTAATTCTCAGCTCGACGAGGTGAGGAGTCGTCTCTGTTGGAAAACAAGGGACCGGAAGTAGTGCGGTACTCTGCTCTCGGGTCCTCGTATAATACAGGTCGGTTCATGACGTACACACTTGACACTACATATCCTCCTACCCGAGTACAAAATTAGCATTACGTAACGAGTAAGTATTTCATACTGAACTATTTGATTCCGATCCTTATCTTCTCATGTATGGGTCGTTTTAGAGGTTAATATTGAGTCCTCAAATACAACGTCAAAACCCCCCCCTTTATGAGTTGTCTCGTCTCTGTCTGTCATTACTCTGACGGTCAATTTTCGCGAGTTACAATAGTGACCGTTATCTCTCGGAGAGACATTCCTAGAAGGTACGAAGTTATGGTGAGTAGTTTAGCGTCTCGAGAGATAAGTAGGAGGAAAAAAGTATATATGAGGGGGTCTGTTCGTGATTACTAGTTAAGGTCGGAATCGTATAAATAAGTACTCAAAATAATGTGGACCAAGGAGAAACAACGGTTTACGCAAAAGAGTTCATAATACCGTCGAGACGGAGGGTGCGAGGACCGATTCTACCGTAAAGAGAGAGAGGAAGAGTGCCTAGCCGAAACAACTTAGAGTGTGTGTCTGCACGTGTGACGAAAGAGATAACCTATTAGCCTCGAGCAATAATGAAAACTAAGAGGTGATGCTTAGTCAAGAAGAGAGAAACAGTACCGCCAGTCTTCACTTTTACACGAAAGCTTGATTCAAACGTAACAGTTAGCAAAAGAAAGGAAATAAGCAGAAGTTCATAAAGACAGGTGAAAAGGAGAAGTAGACTAACCAAAATGTCAACACTTGAGAAATACACCCACCAAGACACACCTTAGATTATACTACTTCACCCGTAGTGATGTGACTCACGTGGAAAATCAAAAATTGTTACAGGAAATGAGCTATCAGTCCTCATATTCATACGGTCGACCTGATAAGAATAAATTCAACCGTATTATCCATGGTTTATGTTATATTAATGAACAACGAAATTTCAGTTTGTACCAGACGTGTTCAAAGCTCTCTGTTCCTTTGTAAAAAGGTTTAACAGAGGTTCAGGTTGTCTGAAAATTCTGTCATGTACAACCATTTTATGTCTTACACCGAGAGATTATAGTCTCATCGTGGTACATTGTTTAACAGGATGCATCGACAACATACATTTGTCCTACATATACTAATGATCTTCTAGTAGTCATCTCCTGTGTGCGACAAAGTCCGTCCACTACTCGATACACTATTGTTGCTATTGTATTACTAAGTCGGAGATACCTCTGTCTAGTATACTGACAGTACAAATACGAATGCGTCGGAATCGATTAGAACTTGGTTTGTAACTTATGACGAAACTTGGCCAAAAGACGTAGAACACTGACTTATTGTGAAGAACATATATTGGTAACAGTTCCCTGTGACAATGACCCTTGATAAACAGGGTCGTCTGAGACAAACACTACTGATGAAAGGTAAGAACGTTCCTATTATTTATTATGTTTATTATTTATATTATTTACTGATAGGACTAATAAGTTTTCACTATAAAGGATTGTCAGGTATTATTACTGTGGATTTTTGGACGTTTAGGAGTTGAGAATTTTCCGTTTACAACTGTAAAAACGAGTAGTAAATGGCTGCAAATTATTGGTAATTTTTGCATTTCGCAATTTAAAATACTGACTTATGACGCTAAAAGCCGTATTAACTACCGTTATGTTACAAAACTATAGCTACAACAAAAGTTATAAATATTTCTTCATGTGTGACTTGAAATTCAATTACCCTGAAATAGATGACGAGGAAACAATGACTAAATATAGAACTATAAAACTTTTTATCAATTGACAGACAGTTTCTGGAGACGGATGCATAGAAAAATTCCATAGAAGAAAACCCAGTAAGAGTACACCGTAAATGCAACAAGAAATCCTAAAATTACAGTATGGATAAAAAATTGTACAATACATTAATCTCAACAGTTACGCGTTCTATTTTGTAATCAACATATTTGGGGAGATAGACTAAACAGCTGGGAACACGGAATCACTTGGGTCTGACGCCTATGGTCTCGAAGATTTCACACCTTGTAGTCCACAAACCCAAAATATAACTTGTTGAGCTGGGAAAATGTAATGAGATATGCAAATGCTTGCCTCATGTGCAAAATAATACACGGCCTTACCTCACCTCCGCCCAGACATTTTATCACCATACGCACACCTGTAACTAGGTCAACAAGAGCTGCAACAAGAGGAGACTGCGTTGTTCCATTAAGGAAGAGTTCATTCAGCCAATCTTCTTTTTCTTTTAAAGCTGCACAACAGTGGAACTCAATCCCAGTAAAGATTAGAGAACAAAACACCTGCAGTTTATTTAAATCTAACTTAAAAACA